ATGGGATTCTCTTACTGTGCCTTATTTTACTTCAAAACAACTCATCACCCAAAATTGTTTTTAGATATCCTTTTATTTGTAATTCAGTCTTCTCCATTCTCACTTTGTGAGATTAATCTTTTTCCTTTCTATTGTTTTCGTTGTTGTTTCTGATTCTGATGCTGGTGATACTGTTACAGCCTCAAGGCCTAGAAAATATCACTGTAGATGTTCAGTAAATATTTGTTGAATGAATAAGAAAGAGGGGGAAATACCCATAAAAACACAGAGGAAGATATGAAAATTGTAAATGCACATGAAACTGAAGTCAGTTATTTACCATTCTGGCTAGTAAGCCATGAAGACGTAATTCCATATCTCTAAAGGATAAATAGAAAGGACCAGAGGTGTCTTCCTAAAACACCAGATAGGAAAGAGCAATCACTTCAGTATTTAAACTATTTTGCTAATATGTCCCTTAAAATAATTGTGTACAATTATAGGTGTTTGTAAAATTTTCATCATAAATTTAAATAGTTGCAATGGATGCAAGTTCGAAAATAAAAATATTAAATCAATCATAAATATGCCCAATGGAATATAAACATTGTTGTGATTTTATATTCACCTATAGCCATTGCAAATTGAATATTATTTGCTTTTTCTCCATGAATTCTTATTTCTATGACGCTTCCCCAACGGAATTTTATTCTTTTTTTTAAAACATATTTTTATTAATTTCAGAGAGGAAGGGAGAGGGAGAGAGAGATAGAAACATCAATGATGAGAGATCCCGCAACCCAGGCATGTACCCTGACCAGAATTGAACTATGACCTCCTGTTTCATACGTTGATGCTCAACCACTGAGCCACACCAGCTGGGCTGGAATTTTATTCTTAGGAAATAAGTATTATCTTCAAAACCATCTTCATCACACCATCATGCTTCTCTGCAGTTAAAAAAAAAAAGGCTACAAAATTCACCTGGGTGCAGCCATTTATTTCAACCCCAATAAATCTTACCACTAAACATCATTCTCCCATGGATGGGTGCCCAGAAATGTGAAAGGGCCCATTTCCACTGCCAACACTTATACTAAGCATTTTTTAAATGACCAACAAATATTAAAAATACTAGAGGCCCGGTGCACAAAATTCGTGCAGAGAGCAAGAGAAAAGAAAGGATGAAATAAAGGAATAAAAGAGACAACAGGCTGTAGAAACAAAAAATTGAAGCCATCAGACATCCTTAGTGCTGCTATGGAGGCGGGAGATGCTCCTGCCACTGCTGCTGCACTCGCCAGCTGTGAGCCTGGCTTCTGGCTGAGTGGCACTCCCCCTGTGGGAGTGCACTGACCACCAGGGGGCAGCTCCTGCGTTGAGCGTCTGCCCCCTGGTGGTCAGTGTGTATCATAGTGACCTGTCATTCTGCCTTTTGGCCTATTAGTTGCACATTAGCCTTTTATTATATAGGATAGTATAGCCATATATTGTTTGCAGTCAAAGGTAGAGAGCAAGAGAAAAGAAAGAATGAAATAAAGAAATAAAAGAGACAACAGGCTGTAGAAACAAAAAATTGAAGGAAAAGCACAAAGGAAAAGGAAAAACAACAAAACATGAGGAAGATGTCCCTAAGCAATTAGGGTTAAAGAGAAAAGAAAGGGAATGTAATAAAAAAATTTTAAACCTATTCATCAGAAATCAATTTCTAACTGGGAAATGGACTTTATTGAATAAATATATATTTTTTTAAATCTACAAAACTAGACTAAAAAGTAAAAGCCTCTTATGTTGAAGTCCCACCTCCCAGTACCTCAGAATGTAACCTTATTTGAAAATAGTGTTGTAGGTGTAATTAAGGTGAGAAGCCTGGGCCCCTAGTCCAGCCTGGCTGGTCTCTCATAAACAGAGGGGATTGGGGTACAGACATGTATCAGGGGAGATGGATTCAAAGGTGGAGATGATGCTTCTACAAGCCGAGGAATGCCCCAAATTGTCAGCAAACCACTGGGTGCCAGGAAAGGGACACGAAACAGATTCTCCCTAGATATCAGAAGGAACCAACCCTGCAGAAACTTTGATTTTAAACGTCCAGCCTTCAGAACTGCAAGACCAAAAATTTCTGTTGTTTAAGCCAATAAATAAACCAGAGAACAGAGGTATCAGACATAAAGAATAGCATAGGAAAGACAGACAGCCCTTTCTCTAAAAAATAGCTCTGTCATTAGCTCATCTTATGCTAAACACCCAGATATTTTTTTCTCTTGTTTCTCTCTTTGAACAAACCAAATCACTCAAACTACCTCATCTTGAAGAAAAATAACAGTGAAATTGGAACTCCTTTAACCAGTACAACTGGCCATGGCTCAGTGGTTGAGTGTTGACCTATAAACCAGGAGGTCACGGCTTGATTCCCCATCAGGGCAGATACGCAGGTTTCGGGTTCAATCCCTAGTCAGGGTGCGTACGGAGGCAATAGCTGTTTCTCTCTCATATCGATGTTTCTCTCTCTCCCTCTCCCTTCCTCTCTTTCTAAAAAAAATCAATAAGACATTTAAAAAAAAACTTAAAGGTTATAAGTACACAAAAAGTTATGATTCAAAAAAATGGGTGAGGGATATATACATGTTAGAATATTATTATACTTCTGTTTATGTTTGAAGTATCTGATCCTGTTTTAAAGATAACACTGCATTAAATCTCTTTATGGAAAAATAGTGGGACTTTGGACTGTTACTGTTCTTAAGTAAGAGAATGATTTCTTTTTAGAATAAATAATAGAATGCGATGTTATTGATTACTGCTCAACACCATCCCCCAAGAAAAATCCCACAATCAGACTTTTTTTCACAAGAAAACTGAAGCCTTCTTTAATAACAAACCACTGTGTGAACCACTGGGTTTCATCTGCAAGCCTTAGGCATAGACAGGTGAAAAAGTAAGTTCATCGACAGTCTGTGAGGTGAAAAAAGAAAAGAAAACCTTCAGAGTAGCAGGAACCACAAGTGTCTCAAGTTATTGGCCTCACTCTTTCCAAACAAGGATTTGTTTGTTTGTTTGCTTTCCAAATGGAAATAGCTTTACTTTTTATAAATTAAAAAGTAATTCATATTCTTTGGGAAAAAAAACAAAACGCAAAACACTGAAAAAATCTAAATATATAAAAGCCGAAGCGACCGAACGACCGGTCGACCGGTTGCTGTAACGCACACTGACCACCAGGGGGCAGACACTCAACACAGGAGCTACCCCCTGGTGGTCAGTGCACTCCCACAGCCAACCTCCCGTGGCTGGCTGGCCAACCTCCCGCAGTCCCTCCCCGTGACTGGCTGGCTGGCTCCCTACTCCCTGATCAGCCCCGATCACCAGCCAGGCCGAGGGACCCCACCTGTGCATGAATTCATGCACCGGGCCTCTAATAATTTATAATAGCCTATAATGTCTCCATCCAATAATAACCATTATTAATATTTTAGTGTATATCCTTTCTATTTATGTGTATGTATAGTGTTTACTGTGAAATCACACTCTGTATTTTTGTTTTTAACGTGCTCTTTATCTTATAAGATATCTTAGAAATAGTTTCATGTCCAGAAAAGTAAAATCTGTCATATCTCTTTAATGGCTGTGGAGCATTATACTGTGTGCCATAAGGTATTTGAACCACTGTTGGCGTTTCTTCTATGCAAGGCTGCAGTGAACACAGTGCACAAGCATCGCTGAATACGTGTCCATTTGTCTCCTTGGGATATGTTTTAGAAGATTGGCTGGACCGAAGGGAATACATAGTAAATAGTCAGGTATCAGTCAGGACTCTCCAGACAGGCCCGCCCAGAGGCTGGAAACGCAGGCAGGAGTGGATGCTGCAGAATGCTCTCTTCTCTGGGTAACCTCAAGGTCTGCTCGTAGTCTGTGGCATTGCCTTTTTACTTTCTCATGGTACCCTTTAATAAGGACAATTCCTAAATTCTGCTGTAGTCCATGTCATCGCTTCTTCTGTTATAATTAGGTCTTTGGGGTCCTCTTGAAGTCATGTTTGTCTGTTGAGAGATGGTCTTAAGTTTCCTTAGTTTCATGTCATGTTTCAAAGTGGAAAGATATATGATTCACAATTAACAAATTTTTTTGTGTGGAATCCTGTGTGGTAGGGTATTTTGCAATTTAGATTTTACTGATCCACCAACATTCTTTTCTCCTGCTGGGAAGCAGCACCTCCCCTATTTTTGGGGGGCGGGGCAGAGGGGAGAGGCGGGACTTCTAAGGGCCTGCCTATGTAGCATGTGAGCTCTTGACCCAAACAGGGCTGACACTGGTACTTTTGTCCCCCCCCTCCCCCTTGGCTGCAGTGGTTGGTCCATATAGGGCCTGTGACCCCAGCTGGAGCAGTTGGGGACCTCCGCAAGGCAGCATAGCAGGAAGCCCGTTGACCAGACAGCAGAATGCAGAGAGAGAGCAGGTCTCGGCCCTGCCAAGTCACTGCTCCCTAACACTTACTCCATGCTAGACCTTCCTGTGGGTTTTGTAGGTGGGTCTGTAAATTCCCAACTTTTATTGAGATCTTTTTCACTTGAAAGTTTGGAAGGAAGTACACTTGAAAGTGAAGTCCCATTATCGTAGAAGTTTGCGAATGCTCCTAATATAACTCACTCCTAGAGATTCATGGTGTATGTTATCTTATTGAAGGACATAAAACCTGTGGTGAAAGAAGCCTGCGTATCTATGTTTAACGCAGGGATTCCCACACTTGTTTTTGACATGAATACTTTTTTATGATGCTTCTATTAGCGTCTCAGAATGCTGACAAGTGGCTCACTGATTTGGAAATGCCGGGGCCATGGTGTGGAAGGTACAACTGCAAGCTGACAGATGAAAGGCGCCTTCCTCTGGGAGCTCGGTTTTGAAACGCGCTAACATTTAATACTTTATAGGAAAATAATGTTATGTTTTATTTGGGCAAAGAGTCAGAAACATCTAAAAGACAAATTTCATGCAACCACTCTGCAAACTTCTTTCTCGTGCAGGTCAGCCAGTACACCTTTGCCATGTGCAGCTACAGAGAAAAAAAGTCTGAGCCGCAAGAATTAATGCAGCTTGAAGGATACACTGTGGATTATACAGATCCCCACCCAGGTAATTCTGAGTTGAATCACTTTCCCCTCCATTCACATATTCATCAAGTTCTCATACACATCCTGTCTCTGTTCTACAACCTCCACTCATTGACCGGGGTGCATATTTCACTGATATTCCTGAACAGACTTGATGAAAATCAAACTGTATCTTTTTGAGGGCTACTTCATTGTAGCCAGACTCATCATCTCTGCTATCTTTGTACAGAGATTTTCAATCATTTTCATCTCACGGTACACGTAAACTACTTACTAAAATTCTGTGGCACACTAAAAAACAATTTTTTTTTTTGCCATTCTGACCAAAAAAAAGTAGATGTGCTTCCCATGGGATGGCTGCTGTTGTGTTGGCTGTTGTCATATTTTTATGTTACGGGCAGTGTACCCTTGACTCAGTAGTCAGGTAGTGCATGTTTTAAACATTCCTGCAGCACACCAGTTGAAAATCTCTGTCTTAGGGCGAGTATGAAGTGTGTGAAAGTTACTGTGAACAGAAAAATTAGTTGAGAAATAGCATCAATGTTTACTTAAACTTCCTTACTGGAAAGCAAAATGTATAAGAGACAGAAATAGGGAAAGAAATGGCAAATGAATTATTATATGTTCTACCAATTTTGTCCCCGGCAACACATTCTTGTGCTTCTCTTCCCTCTCTCCATATTCACACCAGATCCAGTACTAGACTCTTGGTTACTAAAACTGGTGAGGGAGTGAGTGAACGAAACAACACGTGGAGATTGGTGAACTTAATAAAGTGATATTAAGAAAAATATAAATAAATATAGAGATTGAGAAATTAATAGAGATTAACAATAGAAATCTGTGATCACATGCACTCATTTTGCATTCATCTAAAAAATGCAAAATATCTTCAGTGTGAAAGAATTTTGCAAAAGATAAAATACCATATAATAAAAGTATCATATTTTTGCCTTATCTGTATTTTTTTTTCAGCTAAACTCATCACATAGTTCTGTACAGAGAATGAAAAGCATGCCTACAGATAAGCACTTCTCTGACATGAACTACCAGACTATAGTATGCATTTCTATGGGGTGGGCTTGTATGTCTTGCACAATGCTACTGTGTCATGGACTGTTGATTTCCCTAAGTTATTTTTAATTTGCAAAGCAATATGGAGATTTAATCCTTTCTCTTATTGTCTTTCCTACAATTCTTGGATCATGGGTTTGATCCTCAACTAAAGCATTGAGCAGCTAATATCAAATCGATTCCTTTCCATGAGACCATTTAGTGAGTAGCATTAAAATCTGTCAATTGTGTGACTTTTCAGCGATGCCTTTCTCCCTCCACAGGCCTTCAGGGTGGTCGCATGTTCTTCAACGCTGTTAAAGAAGGAGACACTGTTATATTTGCCAGTGATGATGAGCAGGATAGAATATTATGGGTCCAAGCCATGTATAGGGCCACAGGTCAATCTTATAAACCCATCCCTGCAATTCAAACCCAGAAGCTGAATCCTAAAGGAGGAACTCTTCAAGCAGATGCTCAGCTTTGTAAGTTTTATTAAAAAATAATTTGATTATCAATTAATAACCTTAATGAGATACAAAATTATCTGAGGCAAATTTGTTTAGTGTTATAGTTTACATCATGAACTGATTCCTAATTGAATAAAAATAGTTCATATTAATAGTCATAGAATTAGTTATCTAATTTTTCACACAGATCCAGAGTAAATGGTTTCCAATCATGAATTTTCCAAGCATTGGAGTATCTTTGGGAATCACAACAGCATATAAGAACATTTTCTCAAATTTCTCAAAAGAAATTTTATTTTAACCTTGGTAATTTTGTAGTTTTAAGTACTGCTGTGTCCTATATAAATTTTAACTGTGTCTTATAGAAATAAGAAAGTATTTCAAAATGAAATTGGCATTGATAGGATTTCCGAAAACTATTACTTTCTAGATTTGTTCTTCATAACTCAGAGGATAATAGGACTATTTTCTGTTGTAGATTGATAAAAAAGTAAGTTATCAAGCCAACTTTCTTTTTCTAAATATCTTAATATTTATGTCAATTTTTGAATGCTAATTTAAGTCATTAAGAACTATATTTTTTGGCCCTGGCGGGGTGGCTCAGTTGATTGGAGTGTCGTCCTGATATGCCAAGGTTTCAGGTTTGATCCCCTGTCAGAGCTCATATGAGAATCAACCAATGAATGCAACATAAGTGGAACAACAAATTGATATTTCTCTTTCTTTCTCTCTAAAAATTAATGTCAAAACAAGAAATATATTTTTCACTTGAATTTATAAGTGATTAATAACAAATTATGTAATGATAGAAGCATTTTCAAGCATGGCTTTTATAATCATTAGGCCAAATATTCTAATTTGTTATGCTCCTTTGTAAAACTTCTCTAGTTTCTCCTGAAATAATTCCGTTTGTCTAGAAATTTAAGCTCAAACGGTGACTTTTCAATCAGCACCTTTTACTCGCAAGATTCTTCTGTAGGGGAGTAACATCTTGACGTGCATTTTCTTTTCCTACTTGTTATGCTTCAAATAACTACTCCCTTTTCTTTTTGGCATGCTTTAGTATCACATCTGGACATCTTAAAGGCACTTTAGTCAAATAATTACAGATGAAATATGAACTCCAGTCACTTTAGTGCTTTGGGGTTAAATGATATACCTTTAAACTTACCACAGTCCATCATCATGTATATCACTTGGTGCATAGTATGTGGACCCTACAGGAGTAGACTTTCATTTCTTCCCTCCTGGCCTCTGAGCTAGTCTGGTCATACATTTAACTTCTACCTCTGTGGGAAATCCCACAATGCATTGCTATTAGCATTATTGCCTTAAACAGTTACCTTTTAAAGAACTTTAGATAATATGGGGAAATGGTATATACTCACCCACTTCTGGTGCTCCTCATTCTCTTGGAGAGAGATTTTATTTCTTCTTGAAGGCCTTCCTTTGCCTTTTCTTGCAGTGCCAGGAGTACGCCCTCCCACCTCCACCTAGGTCTGACAACCAGAATATCTCCACACATTTCCAAATGTTCAAGAGGGCAGGGTTCCAATGGGAAAGAATTATCCCCATTGGAGAACCAGTGAGCTACAATGACTTGAAAATTATTTTTGTAAAAACATCTCACTCATTCCCTTTTGTTGACATCCTAAGTGCAAGGAATGCCCAAGGAGTGTTCCGAGCTCATGGATATCACCCATTTCTTGCACAGAGAGGCGAGAAATGTGGTCAGGAACCACTAGTCTAGAAAATTAAGGCCATGACTCTACAATACAGAATTAATGAATTAAGGCTCTAATGATCAATTGATTCAGAGCACCATGCAATCTCTTTGTGGCTAAACCTTCTACTGTTAGATGTGTGCTGTCAAGGCAGTGTTGGTCAGGCTAATTGGAACTAAATTTTCTTGCCCCTGGATTAACTTCTTCTGGAAAAGCTAACTGTTTTAACTTTGAAGATTTTGTTCTACTCTCAACTAAGTTGCTTCTAAAAAGCCAAACTGTTTCAGTTGGGTTAACGACAGCTTTCTTGTATTCTAGGCTTGTGGTAAAATTTTCCACTAGAGCAGACTCTGCTGTTTTATCTTTCTTTAAAGAGGAAAAATAAATAAATAAAAAAGGAAGGAAGGGAGAAAAATGTGTCCCTACCTCATGCCAATGAGAATGCTGAGTGTGGCCTGTCACAGAGATGCCACTGGGCCACTGCAGAAAGTCCTGCCCTAGTATTGCTCTCTTGGAAGAACAATTCTTAGAGTCATTCGTAGACAGCAAGAAAATAATAAAATTCGATTGACTAGCTATAGAAAGAAAGAAATATGTTCCTAACCCACTTAACGATGCTTTGTTTTTTAATTTTTTTGCTGACTGATAGCTGGTAAGGGTAAGTATTTTCATGGGGTTTTTTTGTTTGTTTATTGCTTCACTGTATAAAAATTAGGTAATGACACAATTTTTAAAGGAGTATCATGACCTTGTTTACAATGTCAATCTCCTTTTTTCTAGGTAAACCTAGAATATTTAGGTTAACTTTACCATTTATGAAACAAAATGCCTGTTTTTGCCCAATAGAAAAGTAGAAACAACCTATTACCTATCATTCATGTGGGTATAAAGGTAATGTCTATAAAGGTGATAAAATAGCATGCAAAAATGCTCAATAAGTTTAAATGGAAAAATGCTAAATTATGTTCTGTGATGGTATTTTCACTAAGTAAAAAAATTAAAAATATAGATAGAATTATACCTAAAATATTCACAGTGGGTGAATTTAAGTGGAAGGACTAGTTGCTAATTCATTTCTTCTCCTGAATTTTCTGTGTTATAACTTTAAAAAAGAAAGCTTGTTTTCAAAACTAAGCACACCAGATATTTAGGGATAGTCAGAACAAAATAATAATAAAATCTAGCTTATTGGAAGACAACCTTATTATATTTTTAGGATATAAATAATGGCATGTTCTTATATATTACTCTGATAAGATAATCTATTCTTTTCTATTTCCTTGACTCTCAGGATATATAGAAATTCTGAAATAGGGTGGACACTGCCTTTAGCCTGACTTATGGGACATTCTTTAGTTAAACTATCCTTCTTTGCTGTCTCAAATTAAACTAATATGCAAGCACCTTATTTTTCATTTTATCTTTTAACTCACGTATGTAGCATAATACAGTGTGTATGTTTCATAATATAGAATCCGACACAGTGCTAGTGGACTTCCAGTCATAAATTAATGTCAAAAATTAAACAGAAAAGTTACCTTCTTTTCGATTTTAAGCCAATTTTTAATCCTTAAATCAGAGTATAAATTTACATTTAATTATATAAGCTAATTTTCCTGATTGATCTGATAAGTTAAATTTCACACATAAGGTAAAATATGTCTTGCTTTACATTGAATATATTATTTTAACTAAATGTTGAATATTGGTGTACTTGGCCTGTGATTCTAGGTCTGTATGTGTTGATTAAAATTGTCATCATGTGAAAATATTACATGTTACTTGCTGCAGAAAGCAAGATGTGTAAATCCATACATCAGTTTTTAATCAGTTTAACAAAAACAAGCTAGGAAATCATTTGGGTCAATAACAGAGGTGTGAACAAACTTCTACTTAATATATCTGTCAACCATTTCTCTTCGGTCTCAGCATAAAACATCTATACATAAAACACAAACATACCACCAGGATGATCTACTGAAAATTTTTAAAATCTATCTTTATTGTTGAAAGTGTTACAGATGTCTCCTCTTGCCCCTATTGACCCCTTCCACCCTGCACCCCCCCCCCCCCAGGTACAGCACTATTGTCTGTGTCCATGGATATTGCTTATATGTATCTGCGTTCTTTAATTCATCTCTCTCTCTCCCCATCATTCCTTTCCTCTGAGATTGATGGATCTCAGAAGGAATCTACTTAAACTTTTAACATCAAGCTCTTCCTATTAGCAGCTCTAGGGGTGCTATAAAAGTGGTGTATACTTCTCTATGCCACTTTTAACTCCCTGCAAATTTTTCAAGCTCAATGAGAGTTTGCGCTAAAAGGAAAGTGTGATCAGGTGTGGGTAGCAGTAAATGCAGCTCCAGGCCAGCTCCTAAACATAGGACAACTTTAAACGAAGTTACTGTATTTGAAAATGTTCATGGCCGCTTCGATCAGCTGAGGGATTTGCAGAGGAGGTGACCATTAACTAGCAGCACCATCTTCTGAGTCCTTTGGTACTCAAGTCCCAGTCTGGACACCTGGGTAGTCTCAATGCTAGTGAATGGCCACCTCTTCTCCTTCTCGGTGTAACGGTGCACAGTGAAGTATATTTGCATAAAATATTTTGAATTGTGCTTTCAGACATAGAAAGGAAGAAGTCGAGGAGCTTGGTCTTTACAGCCTATGTTTTGAAGATGGGATAATCCCTAAGAGTACATTTTACTGTCATAGAATTATAATCATGGAGGGTTGTGTGTGTTTGTTTTTTTAGAGAATTTTTAGTGTGTTGTTTTCTCACTGTCACTATAGAATTTGTATATGTGACTTAAATTTCTATCATGAATATGATTTTTATCACTAATGGCAATTGTTGGCAGTCATTATCCCTTTATGTATATGACTCAGAAAGCCTTGTCACATTTATGGTTTAGACTTATATTTCATGAGGAAGATGCCTCATAAAGTACATTTATTTTTGAAAATATGATTAATTATAGAAATGAACCATAGGTGTTTTTTTTCCAGGAACTTGTATATTTTATTTAAGAACTGTATACCTATTGTTTTAAAATAGACATTTTCTTCTACAAACCTTTATAGTTAATTGAGAATTGTGGATTTTTTTTCTCTATTACATATCCTATTCTCAACAGATAAGCCATTAATGGGTGTTATTTTTAACTTCCTGTTATGACCTTCCCTGGTGAAAAAATAATGAATAAAATTCAGCAGATGTTTTATAAAACTAGTAATTTAATTTCATAAGGTGATACTCAGAGATTTTGTACTCAGCTAAATGCAGAAATAAAGGTTCTAAGATAATTTTTTAAAAATAAAACATAATCTTCTGGGTTTATATGTGCCTTGCAGCTTTCAACAGTTTACCTCATTCTCATCTGATATTATTTTGCATTATCATTACATTTAATTTTATATTAAAAGTATCACACATAAGAATATAATACATTGGAAGTTGAATTGTCTCATTTCAGAGTTCAGAAAAATGAGTTTAGTTTAGTGTTCATCTAATAAATACTAATTTACCACATGTCCTATATTTAACCATCCAGGTGAGTATTACATGTAAAGGGATACAGATGCTACTTTTCCATGGATTATAGCCCCCTACCTTTCATCATCAATAAATGGGCATTCGTTGCTTGCTACATCCACCTTTTGATATTGTAAGATATATATTAGTTTGTATACCTTTTTTTTATGTGATTCTGAAGGCCCTTCAGTTTGAATTATATAGTTCTTCCATCCATAAATATGGCTGAAAGTTGAAGTTGACATGGATCAATATGATCTGGGCTAAATATCTAAATGTGACTGATTATGTTAGCATCATGTCCACAGATCAATATTGAGTTTTATTATGAGCCTGACTCTATAATTGGGTTTAATCAATAAACTTTTGTCTCCTTTCCTTTGCAACTTTAGGATTGCACCATGTAGGTTTTAAAAACCACAGTTAGCTTACATTTAGGGCTCTGCTTCTTGTGATGACCAGACACGAGGTCTATCTGTGAATTTTAAGGAACAATGGAGCTTCAGCTCCACCATTATGAGGAGAGCCCCCTTTTATCTTGATAACTGATTGCTTGACCAATATGCGCACCATTTCCAACAGAGCTAATGTAGTAACACCCAGCACTTCTTTGGGGTGGTGTGTGGCTCTTTCTCTCTATCCTTAGTAAATAACTCACATTGAAGACTTTGACAAAACATGCCATTAATGAAAGCAATCATAAAAGCTTGCCTTTTGATACACCCGCGGGGTCTACAGGCGTTGAAAGATGCAATCTGTAAAGAACAATGAACTTGGGCCTTTGATTGAAGTGCCATGTGGGACCTTAGGCTTTGTCTGCATATTTGCACAAACATGATGCTCCCTTTTTCATGTCTCTTAAACTTGAAGCTTGAGAGCATTCATTGCCATTTCTGCATTAAGGTTGGTCCCATTAAAGGCTCCATACAAAAAATAAAAATAAAAAGAGGACTGGAAGTGGTCCAGCTAAAGCTTGTGTGTTCATTTCTGTCCTAGTTTGCCATTTTGGAAGCAGGCTTCTAGCCATCATTGCAGTTTTTTATGAATAGACTTGGGTTCTTTTCTAGTCATTCCTCAGTCAATATGTACTTAAAATGCATCAAGTTTTCCTAAAATTGAAAAATACTATTATTTCTGTGATGAGTATTAGAAGTAGCTTTGAAAGAAAATAAGATTTCATCACCTCATTTCAAATGACTTGTAAATTTTTCCCTGTCATTTTTATGTGGGCTCCCCAAAAATTGCAATTTATGTTCATATGCTGAATTCATCCTATTTTATGTAATAGAAGGTAATCTTTTGTTATTATGAGGCATGCATTTTGTGGTTTTAAAAAATCCATTTACCCGTTATTAAACCAAAAATATAAATTGTATTATACATGTTTTTCTGAATTCACAGATGCAGACCGTTTTCAGAAACATGGTATGGATGAGTTTATTTCTGCAAACCCTTGCAAGCTTGACCACGCCTCCCTTTTCAGAATACTCCAGAGGCAGACTTTGGATCACAGACTGAATGATTCCTATTCTTGCTTGGTGAGTACAAGTCTTTCTGTCTGGTTCCCCACAGGTTAGAATTCAAGAGGTTTAAAAGTGAGAAATACTTGTTATGAAGCGGCATTTTATTCCTGACTTGTTTAATAACTGTAGTTGGAGTTAGGGGTGAAGGATTCCAATCGATTGCTTCCCAATTTGAAAATTATACACTTGAAGACCACTGCTGTGCCACTCAATAGACAGGAGAATAGACTCAGGCAGACCCTGAGCTGTGGCTTATCGGTGCCTCTGGAGAAGGTCGAATGAAAATAGAAGGCTTTAATGAAGATAAAAAACCCTCCGTGACAGGATTTACCAACACCTGTACAGACATTGTAAGGTTTAAGTTCTGTTCACCAAAAGTTGATATATTTTTCAAGTCTCTCTTTTGTTCCTAGAAAGACAACCTAATTAACAGGGGGAAAGAAACAGAGGGATAAATAGGGCAGGGGCTGTCTATATAATAGGAACGCTTTAGTCTCATCTAACCCTCAGAAGATCATTTGCATTCCTTCAGTTATGGAGAACAGGTGCCCATACCTTCCATGGCCATAGAGAGAGAATGATTTTAGGTTTCCAGTGTCCAAATCAGTTCAAAAACTGATGACATTCGATATTCGGAAAATAACCAGAAACATACCATTAATGAAAAAATGCCCAAAGACACTTTAGCCCGCTGGTTTGGCTCAGTGGATAGAGCGTCAGCCCTACAGACTGAAGGGTCCGAGGTTCAATTCCGGTCAAGGGTACATGCCCTGATTGCGGGCTTGATCCCCAGTGGGGGGCATGCAGGAGGCAGTCAATCAATGATTCTCTCTCATCATTAATGTTTCTATCTCTTCATCACCCTTCCTCTCTGAAATTGATAAAATATATATATTTTTTAAAAGACACTTTAGCCCTAACCGGTTTGGCTCAGTGGATAGAGCATCAGCCTGTGGACTGAAGGGTCCCAGGTTCGATTCCGGTCAAGGGCATGTATCTTGGTTGCGGGGCACATCCCCAGTAGGGGGTGTGCAGGAGGCAGCTGATTGATGTTTCTCTCCCATTGATGTTTCTAACTCTCTATTCCTCTCCCTTCCTCTCTGTAAAAAAATCAATAAAATATATTTTTAAAAATTTTTAAAAAGACACTTTAATTTAGCTTTTCTTTATGATGCATATCAGTGCCTTCAGAAAAGCAGATCTCAGTACTGAAAGAAAAAACAATCTTTTTTTTTTTGTAGGGTTGGTTTAGCCCTGGCCAGGTTTTTGTGTTGGATGAGTACTGTGCCCGGTACGGTGTGCGAGGCTGCCACAGACACCTCTGCTACCTTGCAGAGCTGATGGAACACTCAGAGAACGGTGCTGTCATTGACCCAACCCTGCTCCATTACAGCTTTGCATTCTGCGCCTCTCATGTGCACGGCAACAGGTATTTTAACTTGCAAACACACAATGAAAGGTGTGGGGTAGACTTGGGAAGAGTGAACAGTGTGCTTTGTCATCACCTAGGAACATATTTTAAATAGCAAGCACTTCTTCGGAGAGAAGAAAAAAATCCCACAAAGGAAAAATGTACATCAATATGCTGTCGATTTAGGTGGGCTGCACGTTAATGTCCCTTTTGGCTGTTGAAGCCGCTTGGAAAAGAGAGAGTGAGAGAGAGAGCATATCTGGGATTGTCACCTCTAAGCTCTTAGAGGCCACCTCGGACCAAGGTCTGCACAGCTTGAGTGTCATTGGAATTTCCATTGTAATGCGTGTGGGGGGCGGGGCAGGTGGTGCTGAGAGGTTTGTGTATTCCTAATGATGCTGGCTTTTCCACTGTGGAATAAGCTTTCATTGACAAGGCAACATAAACAGTGGAGTTTATGTAGTGTCTTCTCCCAGCCCCTTCCCTAACCTACCCTTCGCACTCCAGTGACCTCTTCCCTTGCTTAATCAGAGGGGCAAGAAATCACGTAATGCAGACTCCACAGTCTGTGTACCTCTGAGCTAAAAATCTCTCCATGTCACTCCCCCTGTCTTTTCTGAATCCTGTTCTGGAGAACCGAGGGCTCCTCCCTAAATGAGGTGCCACTACTCCATCCCCTTCTTCACTTGCTTCCACCAGGATGCCATCGCTCCCTCTTGATGGCATCCTGGTGGAAGCAAGTGAAGAAGGAGATGGAGTAGTGGCACCTCATTTCCGTTCCTTTCTTCCCACATGCCTGGCCAAGCTTCACCTAGCCCAGGGGTGGGCAAACTTTTTGACTCGAGGGCCACAATGGGTTCTTAAACTGGACCGGAGGGCCGGAACAAAAGCATGGATGGAGTGTTTGTGTGAACTAATATAAATTCAAAGTAAACATCATTACATAAAAGGGTACGGTCTTTTTTTTTTTTTTTTTTAGTTTTATTCATTTCAAACGGGCCGGATCCGGCCCACGGGCCGTAGTTTGCCCACGGCTGATAGCCCCACCACATAACAGATTGGTCAGGACGTTTTGAAGTCAGACTGCCTGGCTTCCAACTGCTACTCGTGCACTGTGTGAGGTAGGGCAGGCTTCTGAATCTGTGTGTCTCTGCTTCATTACCTTTGAGAAAGCCATAAAATAGAACCTCTCTCAAAAATCATCACTTGTGATCGGGATTAAATACATTCTTATATATCAAGCACTTAGAACCCTGCCTGCCAGGGGCGTGGTCTGAAGCCATTATGTGACCCCATATGTCGTCTTACGTCTTGTCATCACGTCAAGCTACCTTCCCACTGACCTCTCCCCTGTCTGGCTTCTGGCTCCTCGCTTGCCAGTGAGGCTTTCTGAAATGGAGTGCCTGATAACACAGTCACCTCTGCCCCAGCTTCACTCCCCTGACTCTCATCGGAAAGTTGATGCTTCGGCACATCCTATAGACCAGTGGTTCTCAACCTGTGGGTCGCGACCCCTTTGGGGGTCGAACGACCCTTTCACAGGGGTCGCCTAAGGCCATCGGAAAACACATATATAATTACATATTGTTTTTGTGATTAATCACTATGCTTTAATTATGTTCAATTTGTAACAATGAAAATACATCCTGCATATCAGATATTTACATTACGATTCCTAACAGTAGCAAAATTACAGTTATGAAGTAGCAACGAAAATAATTTTAGGGTTGGGGGTCACCACAACATGAGGAACTGTATTAAAGGGTCGCAGCATTAGGAAGGTTGAGAACCACAGCTATAGACCCTGTGCTGCTTAAAGTGCTGCTTCTCTCCCTGAGGCGGCACCACCTCAGCTCTCCTCTCATTTGTTTTTTTTTACCATCTCTTCGCTCACAGGTCCTGTTCCTCCAGACACCAAGTACAGGCTAGTGTTTTTTTCTCACATCTGTTCTTAAACTTGCTCTCTTCTTTCTGAGACCTTTCCTACTTCAGTGAAAAATTCAGCTTCAGTGATCTCACAGCTTCAACTGTGACCTCTCTCGGTGCAGATAATCCCAACCCAGTTACTCTTCTACAGAACAGATCTCCATCAGCAATTGCGGACTTGGATGTTCTGCCGGGACTTTCGACCCACATATAAAATTAAATCCATCATCTCGCCAAACAAGCGCCTGTACCTCTCTTAGCTCCTAGCAGAGTGCCTGGCAAAAAGTATCATTCCTGACACAAAGTGTTCAGTAAATATGTGATAATGAATGAATGAATGGCTTTGTTATTTATACTACTGTTACTTGCATTCATGGCCCATTCACTGTTCGTTCATCTTTTTCTTGACCTCCTAGACTCAGTTTGTCTTCCGTCTTCATTAGTACTCCTCAGACTTGTCTTTCTACCATTTCCATGCACCTACCCTTATCCGGACCTTCAGTTTTTTCTTGCTTATCTGTGTTTATGCATCTCTCTACTGCTGCTTTTCTCCCTATAGTAGCCTGGCAATTGCCTTCTAAATTACAGATTAATTTTTACTGTACTCTCTTTCATAAAACTTCAATGATTCTCATTTGATTATTAAATTAAAAATAGATCCCATGCTATAATGTTTGGGTTTTCTCAATATCATCTCATTCTCTCTACTTAGTATGAAGTCCAAATATTCCACACATGATCTTTACCCCCCAGATAGCCTGTGTATTTTCACTGTAATGTGTCTGTTTCCAAGTTTTGTAATAGTTAGAATCACAAAACTCCTTTAAGAAGACTTAACTTGTTCAAACACTAAACCCTTTTATCTGTAGCTTTTCTTATGAAATGTATCATGTATACTTATATACTATAAACACACACACACACACACACACACACACACACCCTTCAATTCTACTAGATCATATTTTGAAGGCAAAAACTAGTCTCGTTCACCTAGTATCCTCTGAAGGCCTGACCACAGTGCCTTGCATATTGTGGGGGCACAATAAATATCTGCTGAATTGCAGTTGCCACTGTTGGCATTTCTCATCCCAAGATGAAATAAAAGCGACTCTGGTCTCAGAACCTGCTCAGGCTCTGCCCTCATTATGGAACTCAGCCTTTTCTGGAAATCAGGGGGATGTTGCAGGCTGTGGTTGCTTTTCACATCACCTCAAATGAAACCATCTGAACTCAGCAAACTTAGGGGGTGTGGGGAGTGAGAGGAGCAGGCACCGTCGGGATGGCTGACCATTGATAACCAGCATGGCGGGGGCTGTTTTACTAAAACTGGTCTTATCTCCTGGCTCCATCCTAATTCCTCCTGGCCAGCGGCTGTCAGAGGGCAGGCCTCCAGTGTTAGGCAGCACTCCCAGAAGCAAGAAGATAACATGGATGCAATGAAACAGACATACCCAGCAAATGTCGTATGATAGGATTATTTTTGTCCTTAACACAGAAAGGTAACGTTAAATTGAAAACATTAAGTAGGAAATTCAGCTAATGCGCCCCCAAACTGTATGCGTTTGAGACACATTTTAATGGAAAGTTATTTAGGCAGCCGGGAGCTGCTGCCACTGCCTGGGAGGCAGCCTGATTGGAATCTATAGGTTGCCATAGTTACTCGTATTCTGTAAAAGTATTGTTTTCTTTGTCGTGGTACACTGTAAAGTGAAATCTAAGGTCTGTTTTTAGGTTCATGCATATGTTAATAGTACATATTAAATCCATTTTCCAGGTTAAAATATGTACATATGCAGGTATCTCTGGGTATGTTTTAGAATTGAAATTTGAGTCAGTCTCTGACCCAACATTTAGGTCACATGTAGCTTAAGTAAAAAGAAAGCAAGACCCGGCTGGCATGGCTCAGTGGTTGAGAGTCCACCTATGAACCTGGAGGTCACATGCCTGGGTTGTGGGCTTGATCCCCAGTGAGGTCGTGCAGGAGGCAGTCGAGCAGTGATTCTCTCTCATCATTGATGTTTCTATCTCTCTCTCCCTGTCCCTTCTCTCTGAAATCAATTTTTAAAAAAGGTTTTAAAAAAAAGAAAGCAAGAAGTGCAGGTTTTAGAGAAATTTGAACCTCAGTGTAGGCCAGAAATTATACAAGGTAAGCTAAAAGGTATAATGCTTCCTATAATTTTTAGAGTTAAGCGGATGTCATTCAGAAATGTCATGCTGTCGCAATGAAAGAATAAAAAGAGGCAGATCTCTACTTGAATCTTGGCTCTGAAATTTGCAGACGGATCCCTGTCGGGCAAATCATTTAACCTTTCTGAAACTCAGAGTTCATATGTAAAAGGGGAAATACTAATGTGCAGGTACTGGATAATCATAAAATGCTATGTCCGTATTGATTAGTTATTATTCAAATATGCTTCTCACCCAGAGACAAGAATGTAAATTGTGAGAGGAGGAAAAACATGAAAAATTGGTGGTTATACCTCATGCTAAATGGAAATATTTCAGTGTGTATGTAATGATACTCTTAATTCCTCCGCTGATAGAATATTCAGGTTTGAGCAACCTGTCCTTGTGAAAACTAGCATCTCTTAGCCACGTCTGCAGCATCTGATATCTACGCAGATTTTCATTAAAAACACTGTCAATGTCAAGTCTGGCTTTCCAGTCAGAGTTTGCCATCGTCTCCTTTTATGATCATTTTTTCATCTGTCAAGACTCACACGGAGAGAGTCATTTCGTTCATTGCCTGAACTACCTCTCGCAAACAATGGGCAGGAAAAAAGATTGCCTTTTGTTCGTGGCTGATGTGAAGGACAGCAGAGCTGTCTGGCGGGGAAGTTTCTCGGAAGCACATCCTCTTCTTCGGCGTCGAGCGCTCTGGGTGTGTGCGTTCTGTGCAGACACATCTCTGAATAGCACTCAGAGTGTCTCGGGAATAAAAGAATAGAGCTCAACAGAAAAGGCCTGGCTGGTGCTGGGACTGAGAAAGAGAGGGGGGAAAAAAGGAAGGGAGAGAGAAAAAGTGAGTCAAGGACAGAAACAGACACACTCCTTGGGATGAGAGCCGCACACATCGTGAATAACACAGCCACTCGCTCAGCCGCCGTGCCCCCGAGGACCGACAGGAGGGAGAAAAAGACTTGCAGAGACAATGCGTCGGGGGGCAAAGTTCTAGGTTGGTCTGTGTGGTTATACATCTTGGTTTTGTAAGGCAGGCTGAGGGTGGAGAAGCGGCAGCAGCGACACAAAATGGCTTTTGTGTTTCCGTGTAATGTAAGATCCGCGGTGCGTTCACTGACTCTTCGGTGCACAGGGAAGGGGCCGCTCCGACGTGCCAGCTTCCAGTACAGGCTGCAGCAGACAGGAATCCCTGTTTTCTGTGGGTTCAAGGTCACAGCACAGAGTGGTGGGCAGTCCTTATGGGCATCAGTCACATCATATCATGAAACCTCCATCTTCTTACCTGTTGCCTCAGAAATTATGGTCATCTTCCTGCTTCTAATTTTAGAGACAATGGTGCATTTTTAGCAAAATCATAGATAACCACATCAAGTAGGGTCATTAAGAATCTTCATCACCACGTGTTTTTACTTTATATTTATTGTTGACTCTATTACAGATGTCTCCATTTTTACCGCCCCCCCGCTTTTGCCCACCTCAACCAGCCCTCAGCCCCCTCATTACTACATTACTACTTTTTTCATTTTTTATTTATTGATTTTATTGATGAGAGAGAGAGAGAGAGAGAGAGAGAGAGAGAGAGAGAGAGAATATGAATTTGTTGTTCCTCTTATTTATGCATTCATTGGTTGATTCTTGTATGTGCCCTGACTGGGGATCAAACCTACAACCTTGGCATTTCGGAATGACTCTCTAACCCAGCGGTTGCCCAACTGTTGGTCCGTGAGATCCGAAAGGTTGGCGACCGCTGCTCTAACCAACTGAGCTACTGGGCCGGGGCGAGTCATCATCACTTCTTAATTCTAGTCTTGGATATATGGCATAGAGAACTTAAGCATAAATGCTATACAAATCCTAAATCTGGAGATTTACTTCTGGGACAAGTGAACAATCAGATCAAATATCAGAGCAAGGTTATCCTTATGCATTGTGGCCAGTCTGACAGATTCCCTTCCACATGCTGTGTGTGCCAAGGCTGAAGGGCACTTTTCACTGAGTGTCTTGACAGTCTGCACGGAGGGTTCTTTTTTGAAAATCGGAAACATAGAACAATCCCAGATCTGCCTCAAACTTTCCCAGCAGCAATATTTCTTCCACCCAACCTCGAGTTCAGTACTCAAGCAAGATAATTATGCCTTTCAAAACAAGACAGACAAAAACAGCACAGTGAATGGTATGGGGAGAAACTTGGTACCTTGGAAATAACAGTGAGCTAGGAGTCTTCCTCTCCCGGTGGTTCTACTTAAGAACTATTTTCATTTTACTCAAATGGTCTGAGCCTCAGTTTCTCCTCACTTCCTTGTGATTAATAATGTTAATGCTGTCTACCTTTACACGGCTCCTAAGTAGGTCACGTAAATCATGTAAACACTTTGTAAATGATGAAATATCATTTAAATATCAAGTTGGTGATATTTCATGTACAGTACGGTAGTTAAGTAAGCTTTGGGGAATTGTTGTGTAGAAGACCGACAGTGCAGAGGTGAACGTTGAGGGTGTCGTTGTTACAGCAGCATACTCTCAACAAGTGGCAAGTAGGAGGATGCGACTGGGAAGCAGTGAGTAGGTGCCTCACCTCATGTGCTTTCCATGATCAGTAGGGGGAGCCATGGTGAGGCTATTTCACCCCCACCCCCCACCCCCCACCCCACTCCCATGCTTCTGGGAAACACTGTGGGCCTAATATGGGCGTGGCCAAGACTCAGCCTGAACAGGAAGGAGTAAAGAACCCCATTGTGCAAGGTAAGCAGTCGCCAGACCAGAACTTGGGGAATCATTACTATCACTCTCCTCTGTTTTCCCTTCACACCATTCATTCACAGCAAACAGCTCCTGCCTGGGTTTTTCTGAAACAGTGCATAAAAGAGCCTGCTGAAGGTGAATCGCTGAGGACGAGACAAGGGAAAGGGAAAGAGTCAGTTTATGTTAGAATATAGACCAGGTTAACAAGGAGTAGAAGCAAGAGCTACTCCTCTGGTTAGCTTGTCTTGAACTTGAGATCTTCAGAGCCTTAGCATCATTAGGAGGGGTAAAGAATTTGGATTCTTGCCTAGCTGGTTTGGCTCAGTGGATAGAGCGTTGGCCTGTGGACTGAAGGGCCCCAGGTTTGATTCCAGGCAAAGGCACATGCCCAGGCTGTGGGCTTGATTCCCAGTAGGGGGCATGCAGGAGGCAGCCAATTGATGATTCTCCCTTATCATTGATGTTTCTATCTCCCTTTCTCTCTGAAATCAATAAAAATATATTTAAAAAAAATAATTTGGGTTCTTGAGTTGGCTTTCCATGGAGTTTGCTGACATACTAAACTTTTTAAAGAACATAGTACATATGTAATTATGTTACTTAGAAACAATCCAGCAAAACAAAAAGATATGTATGTATATACATGTATAGCACTTACCATTACTGTTTCCCGTCAGTTTGGGATTTTCAGATCTATGTTGATGCTCAGGATTGGCTGTGATTTTTGTTTATCTTGCTGTTTGTGTCAGGGTTTGGTGTACAGGTTATTGCAGCCATATACAATGAGTTGGGTAGTTTGCCTGCTTGTTCTGGATGATAGTCAAAGAACTCGGATTATTTCCTTCTTCTTTTATATGTTTTTTTATTTTAGAGAGAAAGGAAGAGAGAGGGTGAGAAAAAAATTGATCTGTTGCCTCCTGCACAACCCCTTCTGGGGATCAAGCCCACAAACCTGGCATGTGCCCTGACCAGGAATAGAACCGATGATCCTTTGGT